ACAAAAAATACTCTTCGGGTCAAATGACCTGTTGTGGTAGATAACGGTATACGACAAGTATTACTCAAAATAAACAAAACAAAACAAAAAAAAATAACCGTAGATTAATTACTTAGAAAAAGTCATGAAGTCAAATGTGCAAAAGCAATAAGATGATGCGTGCATTTTCAATGCAAAAGTTCAAAATGGGTCATTTGACCCGTTATGGTATGTTTAGTGTTAAAGAGATTTTAATTACATTTATACAAATTTTTGTAGAAATATTTTTAATGTGTTCTTGACTGTCTGAACAAGGATTTTAGATGTATATAATTTAGAGGCGGGTATATTCATATTTAAATGTATCAAATGAGAAATTTGAACAGAAAAAAATTTTCTTCTTGTTTCGAATGTGATCATAATCCTGTTTTATTTCGACTGATAATAACTGAAAATAATGTGAATTCTTCAAATATCCTAGTTTAGGCTAAGAACAGAAGTCTTAACTATAAGAAAAGTATAATTATAAAGCACTTTGCATAAACGGAGATTATGTTGAAAATATTCTTTTTTCTTCATTTTTTGCCAAATATTTGCAATAAAAAATTCAGTTGCGTAATAATATTTTAAAAAAAATTTTAAATGTATAATTCTAATTTAGGTGAGATTTGTATTAAAACAAATTCATTGTGTGTATGCAGTAATATTTTTTAAAAACAATTTTAAATGTATATTCCAATTTAAATAATAATAATTTATACACGTATTGAAAATGATGTTTCCAAACATAGTTAGATACTATAACGTAAATTTATTGCATATAGAAACTTAACTTTAACACATTTGATAATGGAATACCTGGCACTTTTTGTCCAGATGTATTTAATTGCTAATCCAGTAATACAACAGGAAATGTAGCATTACTAATTATGTTGGAAAACACGGGGGGAAAAACTGGAATTGCAAAATTTAAAAATGTGTGTTATTTTTAGATAATGTTACATTAATACTGATAACAATTCAAATCAATATCTCCAAAGAAAAAATGTATTTTCGCTTGCTTATGGTATGAATATGGAGGGATCATCAGTCAAGACTATAATAAATATATACAGGTGTTCTACTCTTTTTGACTGTAAAGCATTTAAATTATATGTATTCAAATCTTTTCGAAATTAATGAAAATTTAAACTTTAATTTAGCTTTATTTGTGTTTTAGTTTGAATTTTTTCCATTGTGAGAATAGCAATACATGTTTTATAATTAAGGAAATAATCTCATTGTTTTCTTAAATGAGTTTTTGAATAACTGATCTATTTTATTTTAATTCCTTTCTAATACCAAATCTCATACGTTGTTAATCGAAGCAAAGATATTTTTCTCGACTAGAATGATAAGATTCAGCTGTCGGAGAACAGTAGTTTTTACCTTGCGAAATTGAATATAACAATTAAAAATCTCTTTTAATTAAAGACTTTTTAGTTTCTTTCATTTGAAAAGGAATTCAATCTTACTCAAGTAATTCAAATACTTCTTTTGAAGGGTTCATTTTTTGTTTTGAAATTGTTTTTTTCAATGGAGCTGCATTTTAAGTGACTTAGCCTTTGCAGACACTTCAAAACCCCAAATGTGGGGGCCATTTCATTGTAGCACCATCTAGCGGCGGCCTCGCTACCAAATTTGGACGCATGAATTAATATTTAATTCAAGCTCTCGTTGGATGCTAAATATTGCCGAGAATACACGGCACAAATTGATACTCAAGGGATCTTTTACATGTCACATAATCATATGACATGCGTGTCTACGACTTTTCGCATCAAAACGCCTATCGCGCGACTCCACCCGGAGTCGAACCGCAACCTACGGCTTACGAAGCCTGCAAGCTAACTCTAAGCCACCGGAGCCAGCTGTTTTAAAAATGTGTATATTTATGTATTCAAAGAAAAATTTCCTGTACTGAATGCAAAAATAAATAAATAAATAATAAAAAAATATTACTTTTATATTGGAAAATTATAATTGAAATTATTAAATAACATCAGAAAATCAATAGAATAATTTATTACTTTTTTAAAAATTTTCTCATTTCCTTTTTTTAAAATTAAATGCAAAATACATTTTAAATAAAATTGAGTCATCTGAATCTCTTTTATCCTTTATTCCTAAGTTAAGGAAAAGTCGCCGAAAATAAAATGAACCTTTTTCGGAACATTCTTTCAAAGTTTTCAAAACGTTTTTTTAAATAAAAAAAATTGATGAAGTAACTTGCCTTAATTGCTTTGAACTTCTTTCTTTTATATGAAATAAAAATAAAAGTGCCATTTAAAAAAAAAAAACCTCTTCATTTTAGTACCATTTGCTAATGCATTGAAAACGACGTAGAACACCGGTTGTTGAGCCTTTTTTCGGTTCCCTTCGTTAATCCCGTTTGACATAACTGCGCCATCATATTTTTCTCAGAAAAAATGCTTTTTACCTCTTGTATATTGCTGAAATTATACTATTAAAGTAAATTATGTTTCTAAAGTAAAATTATTTAGACATTGTATGAAGAGACGTAGTAACAGTAATGGGAGACAGCAATTGCAATGAAAAGAATTGGATGTGATCATGCATAATAGTTTCTAATAGGTAAAATTTATGAAGTAAAATAATTTGATTACGAGAAAAAATTTGTTTTGAAATTTACTTGTGAACAACAATTTTTTCTTCAAATTTTCATGAAAAATACAATGTTTGCATATAACATCTATAAATTTGTTTCTATTTTTAATCATAGGTATTCAGTAAATTTTAATACAAGAGCTTGAGAAGGAAAATATACAATGATAAACAAATAAAGTCACATTTTCTTGTTTATTCTATCTAATGAGTTTACAGTTTAATTATGCATTGCTTGCATTTTGATTCCACTTACTTTCTTATAAACCAGAATTTTCACCCTAAACAATTCATGGTTTTTTAAATATCTAGTTCCACTGGAATTTTCAAAATATATAGTGAAAGAGAAATTCTGTATTATTATTTTATTTAAAATATTTACTTATCGACGTCTTAAATTCCGATATATTTTAAATATTTATGAGTTTCAAACATTTTACCTACCGTATTAGATATTCTCATTGAGTTTTTTCCACGCAATTAATAAATAAGAATGCTATTTAAATATTTTTCCTGTGATTAAAATAAAAGTAACGTGTATTTTTAGATTAAAATTTCTATATCTCTTACTAATTATCTTGCGTAACAATCCCTTTCTTATACTCGAATATTGATTGTAAAATGTAATATATTGCTCAATCAGAACTTCCTTTAAAAATTATATTTTATCGAATAAGATGGATTAAAGCTAACATTTTGAAAACACAAATGCATACTCAGTATCAATTATAAAATTGCTAAGAATTAGTGAAAATAGTTTAACACGAAAAGGAAGTTACTGAAATATTGTTTCGTGTTAAAAGATATTGCAGGGGAAAAACATATATTCAACAAAATTAAGTTAGTTTGAGTACATTTTATTTGCATAGATATGTATATATGCATGTATTTAATAAAAATCATAGAAACGAAAAAAATTTCACAAGAACTTAATAAAGTTGAATACAAAATTTAGCAAAACCAAAATATTTACAGTTTTCCGTTTTTCATCAACAACCTTAAGAAATTCCATCTTCATTTAAAGCTAAGTAGCAGATTGCTATCTCCCTGAGCTCTTTCCCATGGTGCTTTTCCTAAAAAAGCAAAAAAAACGTGAGCAAAAGTTATTGATTTTTACTCACTCTGCAATTTTCTCGCCACCAAATTCCAAAGCCAACTGATGGAGATTAGATGTTTTTGTATGGCGTTTGGAGGGGTGGAGAGTTAAAGTAGCTTAAATAAACAAAATTGGCTTGGGTCACGAGTTATTCCGAAGGTATTTCTAATTCAAGTTCGCCTTCTATCTATGAAATGTGAAACCGTTTGTTTTTAATTTCACACCTCTCTTAAATCTGGCGTTTCCGTATTTTGTTCATTCCCAGAAAGAAATCTTTTTGTGTTAAGTGATTTTCGTTTTGTGTTAAGAGAAAAAATGTATTAAAATCATAGTAGTTTGTCGGGACCATTGAATTATTTCGTGCCAACCGATATTTCTTCTTAAGCGTTTTCGTAGTTAAACGTAACGAGGTCAAAACTTATTTCTTCTCTACTTTTTCTGAACAGTACTTAAATATCACATTAGCAAGTTTCTAAATTTTGCATTTTTATTATATTTGCTTCTTCCCTTTATAATAAATGTATCAATGCTTAAATTGATTTCAGTATAAGCGAACGTATTAAATAATTTAAAACAGCACGGAATGTAAACATGCTTTACTATATGTTCAGTTAACTTGTCGGAAGTGGATATAAAACATTTACCAAACAGTTGTTCATTTTTTAAAGAAAAAGCAAAGAAAATGGTTTCCTAATTACGGATTCCAAAATCCGATTTTATCACAACATAAACTTAAGGGATTATAAGGACTATAATCTTAGTTAAATTCAATATATTTTAACGTTCTTATATGATTTATAAGAATTTCTTTATTTAATTTTTATAGATATTTTTCCATATACAGCTAAACAGCTTAAAAGATAAGCTCATAAATGGGGAATACGAGGAAAAATGGAGTTAAAAAGTTACCTAAATGTTGATAAATTTATAGGTATACGAAGAAAATAATTTATTATACATGGAATTGAATTATTTTTCTCAACTTATATATATACACAATCGATATGAAGAAGTTTGCTTACATATATTTGTTGAAATACTTTCACGCCTTTATTTATATATATATATTATCTTGTTCAAATTTTCAATCGTTGATAAAATACTTTCTATTCATTCATTCAAGTTCAAATACATTTTTTTGAACTTGTAGTGGATAACACTTGATATATTTTAACTCATTAATTAAATTAAAAATGGATAAATAGTAACAAACAAAAATAATAGTTCAACAGCATATATAGAAAGGAATATCGTTCGCTGTGTCCCTGTAGCGCAATGGATAGCCCTTTGGACTTCTAATCCAAAGTGCGTGAGTTCGAATCCCACCAGGGATGGCCTAATTTCTGAGAATGTAGATTTTTTACTATACTATTTTATTGTTATAGTTAAATTAATAATGGAATAAATAGTAACAAATAAACAAAAAATATTCCAACAGCCCTATATAGAAAGGAAAATGGAAAATTGCAAAAAAAAGTCGCTTTCTATTTTGCCATTCAATATTTTGATTCGGTCATATGTGTATACATATTTATATTAATTGTAACTATTTAATAAAAAATAATTAAAATAAAAATTTTCTTTGTTGACTTGAGTTGGAATTGAATATTTTTTTTTTTAATTACTTGTTTAATGTTAAGATTTCTTCTTGTACAGTTTCAGAAAGGCCTAGTGGATAAATTGAAAGATTATGCATCCTAGACTAGTTCACTAATTGATTACTAAGCTAGATCCATAAGTAATAAATTAAATACGTTAGTTATTTATTTGAAATTTTAATATTTTGTAATATATACATATGAAATTAGATCCTTACTGTTTTTTTTTAAGGAAAAAGAAGAGTTAAAAAAAAGTAAGCGTAAAAGTAACAGAGATTGTCTTATGATTATTGAGGAATCTTTGAATCCTTCAGCTACGTGTTGGGAGCCAGGAAGGGGTGCTCTAATCTAGGGTGTCCAAGAGTTCGGCTGATGCATAAAAGGGCCCTTGATGATCGGAAAGTTTAAAAGAATCGCTGATCTAAACCACAACTTACTTGTTTAGTTGATAATAGCTCTCGGTAGCTGTAGACGAGTGTATGTATTTTCATATTCAAACCATGAAATTAGGCCATGGTACCCGAATCATCAGAAAATTGGCTCGTGGCCGCCTACATTTTAATCGACTACAGTTTGGATCCTGATTCCACAACAGACCCATTGTGTGGCGAGGCAGATGCACTTTAAATCTTCTTTAGCGTGGTGTGGAAGCTTGGAGAGTAGGATGCCAGTTCAGATTTCATTCTCGCCAATTGACGGAAGTTTCAAATCACTAGATACATCGTATTATTTATCCAACGCCCGTGATTTTCTTCCGGGCCTCTCAGTACCGACTAATGATGGCATCAGTCGAGTATTCATCAAATTCAGTGCATTGAGCAGGTGGTCGCCATCCATTCTGGCAAGGCCGCAGAGCAGGCAGGTAGGCCACGTCAGAAGCCAGGCCAAGCCAGTGGAGGTCTACTTACAAAAAGTTATGTCCGGTGGTTAGGTGAAAGCGAGCAACAGCTCGGCTCTCCCCAGGTGCCTCGGGATTGGACCCATAATGGCCAGAATTTCCCATGGATTTCCAACGCTCATGGTGTTTTGGGTCACGGCAGTATATTTATCAATGAATGTGGAAATAATGCTCTTTGCTCTTCTGAGAATCAAGGGACTTCCGGTTAAGACGAATTGGCTCCCTTCTTGGCTGTTTGGTCGACTCTCTCACTGCTGGGGAACCCAACATGACTTGGGACCCACTATAAGGCCACAGTTCAGCCATATGAAATTAGCTCCGTAATTTTAGTTCGGCACTGAAATGTGGATACATCGTCAATATGACCTTATGTTTCTTTTATATAAGAACGACGTTGATTTGATCTCAAATGAACGTCGTACTTTGAAGCAACATGAAAGTTATCAGTGGCACCAGGACTCGAACCCAAGACACTCTATCCACGAGTTCGTGACCATAACCACAAGGCTACGGCAGCGGGCTTGACATCGTATGATGTTAAAAGATAGAGTGAGGGAATATTTACGTCGCACTATTCAGCCACTCAGGGGTTTTGGTGACGGACCTTGTAATTTTGAACCATGGTCAAGTAGCTAAGACGATATCTATGATGGCACCCATTTTCCTAATTTCCACACCACACTAACGGGAAGACGTTTGAGCCTCGGCACATTTAGAGTGCATCGCCTCTCTACACGGCGGGTCTTCAGTGTGGTACTGGGCTCGAACTCACAAAACACCGTCTACGAGCTAGTTACCTTTACCACTAGGCTACTGGGGCTACATTAAAAGATTGAAATACAACGTCTATTGCCGTCCTCTCACTTCATCTTTACTTAAAATAAAACTCTTCTACCAGTAAATTGTGAAACTAGATTGAGAGAAATGTTAATTATACAAACATATTTAAAAGAACAAGTAATATAAATTTTATTTAAAAGTCAATTCCTACTTAGGTCAATCAAGAAAATTTTTATTTTATAGTTTTACTTTTTATTAAATAATTGCAATTAATATAAATATGTAAATACATATGATAGTATCACAATATTAGGTGGCAAAATAGAAAGCAATATTCCTCTCTATATATGGTGATGGACTATTTTTTTGTGATTGCGTTATTATTTTTTTTATTCATTCATAAATCACGATCTCACAAATTATTTAGGATTCGAACCAACAACTTTTTTTTATTAGAAGTCCAATGCGCTATCCATTTCGTTACAAGGACGCAATGAAATATTTTCCTTTTCATATATGGTGTTGGACTATTATTTTTGTTTCATCAAACTAATTTAATTAATGAATTAATATTCGAAAAAACTGTATTGACATCAAGTGTCATTCACTAAAAGATTTTAAAAAATGTGTTTAAATTTGAATGGATGAACAGAAAGTATTTTATTAACTATTGAAAATTTGAACAAGATATATATATATATATATATATATATATAAAAGGAGAGTGTGAACTAATAATAGGAATTGGAAAAAAAAAGACACCATTTTAAAATTTTGAATATCGTTATTGTTCAATAAGAAAAAGAGCAAGACCTAATGCAATGAAAATTGTAGTTTTTGAATAAAAAGATTTCAATGAAACGAAAAACTTCCATCTGTCTGCTGCAGGAAGTCTGCTCCTAATGCAATAAAGTTTTATTTTCAAACAACGCGATAAACTTGCACCTGCTTTATTTAGAAGTGCATGGTTTGCGGTTTTAGAAATACTCCATTAACGACCCATATTTAGCTGTTCGCGCGGATCAATTTACTGGCGGAAGATTTTATTATGATCGTCACGCAGGATGAGATTTTTTGCTAGACACACGCGAAGGGCAATGAGAATATTCATACATTATTAAGCCTATTCATAACATAGTTTTTGTATTTATTATTCATTTTTGTAGTTGTTTTTCAACCGGATGGAATCAGGTTTCATTTCCTTAACATTTAGTGGGGAAAAATGATTTGGAAATTTTCTCACCACCCTCCAAGATTTATATTTATATTGTTTGTATTTTAAAGTATTTTCTTACGTTAACTAAACTCAATGTAGACTAAACGTTATATTTTCACGTTAAATGTATAAAATATACTGTATTTGCCAGGACACATTTACAAATTGAAATATATAAAAGACCTTTTTTTATCGAAAATAATAATCAGAAAAAAAATTCCTATTAATTATCAATAAAATTTAAACAAATTTTGCTTGTAAATGAAACTACAACCTTAAACTTTTTTTTAGAAGGTATACTTATAAACTTTTATAATACTTTTTTTAAAAAAAGTTTATTAATATTTTTAATTGTTAAGTCTTGTATTTGTTCTATTTAAGAAATATTCTGTACAAAAATACCCTTTCATTTACGGCATCAAAAACCTATTTTATTGGTTAAAACATTATTGGCAAGTGTTTATTATGTTTAAAAATTTTAATATAAAGGAAAAACATGCTAAATTAAATAATTTAAACATTTCGTGAATTTTCCGATATGTTTTAAATTAATTCAAATTTTGAGGGGGTTTAGGATGGAAAAATCGTATATTTCAATATTAAATATAATACAAAAAAGAGAAAGAGACAAAATTTAATTGAAATTTGATCGAATGTATTGATTTCATACGATTTCTTATACTCATATAGTTTGATTTTAGATAGATTAGTGTTTTATAATTCTGATAATTCATATTTCAATTTCATGATTTCCATACTGCATCACTTGAGCACAGCGCGTCATTCAGTATGCAGTAGCTTACATTTCACAAAAAAAAAGGGTGTCCACAGTAGCTTAAAAGGCACGAGTTTGGAACTAGATTCTTAAGTGTGTAAAACACATAGAAGATCCGTTTGTAAAAATGACTCATTACAAAAGATCCGGAACTATTAGACCAATAGATTTGAAATTTGGCATGGTATGTTCCTTTTGTTGTACAAAACCGCTAATAAAGAACTTTTCAAAAACTGACCCAAGGGAGGCTTCGGGGACATTAGAAACTAATGTTCCCTTTTTTTTAGCTATTACATTCAAAGATTTTAAATTTGGGAAACACGTTTCTTTTGTTGAGCAAAGATCCGCTAAAAACGCATTTTATGGAAATTGACTTCCTAAAGGGGTTGTGGTAGCATTATATATAAATATTTCCAATTTTTTAAACATTAGAGCTACAAATATGGATTTTAACAAATATTTTTATTTAGTAGAGATTCGATGAAAATGGTGTTTGAGGAAATCAACCACAGGGCGTAAAAATAAATATTCTTCCTTCTTAGAACACTAATTCTTTTTTAACGAAGAAGCAACGGCTGTAAAACTGATATTCAACACAAACGAAAGTTTAAGGTATCCGACTACGTTAGGAACCGTGATTTTAAAAATGCGCATAAATGAATATTTTTCATGATATGTAGTGTCATTTAGATTAGAACACATGCACAAAATTGTTTTAAGGATATTTTGACAAAAAAAATTTATTTAAATACAATATTTTGGCAAAAATTTAACTTAGAAAAATCTTTTTTCAAATTGTTCTTCTTTTGTGAAAAATGCTTCTATTATAATAATATTTTGCCTGTATATAGCTCTAGATCTCTCTACAGACGCTCAACTAGAATGTTTGAAAAATTCTCATTATTTCCAGAGTTACCACCCATTGAAATAATTATTGGTATTTTTTTCTTAAAATTGTTCCCCTCTGTTGTCGTAAAATATGGATAAAACCACTTCTAAGTTATATATTTCAAAAATCCTAGTTGAGCCTCTGTAGAGAGGTCTGAGCTATATACAGGCAAAATATT